CAATTAAAAATTAAAGTTATATTTTTTACAATTACTATATAGTTGTTTAAAACAAAGCGGAACCTACTCAGTGATGCGGTATCAGCAGATTATTGCATGTTAAGACATTATCCTGATATATTCTGATATATCCTATCTTGATCTGTATCCTATATCTTGATATATCCTGTAAAAACTCTTATACCTGGGTATTCAAATAAGAAAGAAATTATGCTTCGTGCGTTATGCGTTAGTGCTCATCTTTGTTCAATCGAAAACTAAGTATTTTAGGTGCCCCTTTTCCAATTGACCTGACAGAGCTATTGTGCTTTAAAATAACGGATATGGTCAAATTTAAAAACTTTTTAGTAGGGTTTACTTTGAGTTCAATAAAGAAATAGAGTATTCAATGACATTTTGCAAATTACGACGTATAGTCGCTGGAGTGTAGCTGATTAATTATTACAAAATAAGCCATATTTTAGTTCAAATAAAATTGAATTTTAATATTAATATAAAATTCATTAAAATACTTAAAATAATCTCGCACGTAATATTGATTTACAATAATGATTTGACAGTTTATACTGGATTACCTCATCTGGGCGCAGATAATTTATTAAAATATTCAAAAGGTGTTTTCTTAATAAAACTGAAAAATGATACCAATTAACTTCTATTAGATTTGCGTAATTATTTTAATGTCAACATAATATTTTTAAACGATAATTGACGTCAAAATATGATGCGATATTATTTCATTAAAATAAATACGAATAAGTAATTTTCGATTTGAACTTTAAATTACAATATTTTTAACTATGAGTTCATAGAATAATAATTTCTCATATGCAGTTATTTTAGCGGAAACGTTGTTCTATATAAAAAAGAAATTTTAAAAAATTTAAATGTATATTTTATATATCCTTTTGTGAGCATAAGGATAAGGCAGGACTTAGCTATATGAACAAACTATTTCAAATTATTAAATATTTGAGTTATATTACCCCCTGAAGTATTGATTGAAATATTAATTGAAATGTAAGCAGAGACTTTTAGAAGTGAACTTCTCTCAATGGTTACTATTACTTACTAAAGTAAGTGTACTCCTTGTATATAAATATCAAAAAACAAAAAAATAATTTTTAGAATTTATTGACATTTCTTAAATTTCGGTACTATAAACTATAGAAATTATTGTTTCTATTGAAAATTTCAAATTTCAAATATTCATATGATTTCTTTAGGTACATTTTTACTCCTAATTCTTCCGTCATCAGTTTTTCATCTTTACAAATATTTCTTTCAAAATTATTTCTTTGCATAACGCTGTTTACTCTCTTGAAGATATATCGCCGGTCGGTATAAAGTCCAGATTTACTCTATATATGATAAGTTTCCAATTATCTCTTTACTACTCGTACACTGTCTTCCCAAAACTTGACAAATGCTTGAGAGCAATTCATAAATATCTAAATTATCCTCATTAGATGGAACAGAATTCTACTAAAAACTTAAAAAACATATTTTCTTATCTCACATAATAGTTAATCATTCAATCCAGTGGTTATCATTAAGAAAAAATTATATTTACATTAAATGCTGAGTAACAATAAAATTTAAATTTATAGCCATAACAAAAAAATACTAGTATTTTATATAGAGTTTTACGAGTAGTACCACAAAGAAGAGTAACACATATAGAGTTGGAATTCCAAAGACAGCCATAAAATTTAATATAAAATTCTCAATTAATTGTGAATTTGCTACTGAAAATTTGATTGGCATCTGATGGATGTTAACTTGAACTGCGTACTCCGAAAGGTTAGTAAGCATCTGTGAGGTCCACTTGGAAACCAGTTTAAATTCAGATATAAAATTTAAATAATTACATCAAAAAGATAAAATACAATCAATACTATTATTGATGTGATAACTATAAACGAACTTTGTATGTAAGCTAAACAATCAAACAAGATATAAAAATGAACATGCTAAATTATGAGAAAACACCCATATTGTTGTGACATTAAGAAAAGTGTTGATATATACAGCCATCAAATTGAATTAGTATTTATTATTTGAATAAATAAAATCATTTGCTTCTATTAGCACACAAAAATGAATGAGTAATAGTAAACTTATATATATACTATATATAGTAGTAAAAGGAACTCAAAAAACTAGTATAAAAATGACTAGAATTCATCCTTTTTCATCGAATAAGTCCTTCTAATTAACTTCAGCGCTCTTCACCGATACTAAGGGAAGTGTTTCAGTTCTTCATGTATTAATATTATGGTATGCATTTAGTATATTATAGTACAATTCATTTACTACTGCTTTATATGGTATTACTTGCAATGAGACGAAAATTTGAACCATGTGCTCCTAAAATATGCAGACAACAGTTCTTTATGGCATCAGTTTTCAAATACATCTTACAACTAAATGAGTTTGGTTTAAAAAAGAATAATAAATAAGAGTCCTACAAAGTTTTAAAATCATCACCTACATTCTGCATGGAAAGAGTAATGCTACCTTGAAAACAAGGATACAGAGATGTAATCAATATCGAATGTTTCAATTATATATTATATAGATACTAAATTCAAGACATAATAACCATAGCAAAGAATCACAGAGGATAATAGTTGTCAATGCAAAAAAGAATAAGAATTGAATGCCTCTGTAATTAAGATCAGAAGAATTCGTAACACCATAAATGTTACAAATTCGTTGATATGATCAAAATTTTCAAGCCGAATCAATAGTTCACACCTCCACGCAAAAGAAGCAAAAATTTTAAATCAAAAAGTATCAAACATGCTAAAATAAGGAAAAATTCTATGTCGAAACCCAAAATCTTATAACAGCAAAATAATATAGGTTGGCACTCTTTCAATACCATCTATGGCATTATCAAACGAATAACTACAATTTACTGTAGATTTGATTTATGCAAGTGTTTTTAAGTTATATATACTTCAAAAATTTCAGAAGATATAATCTGTCTATAAACATAAATTTTTCATGGGTGAATCTAACTTTATCAAAGCGAAGAGTTTAATCCCAGCAGATCACTTTCTATCTTTGACTATCAGTGAGAAATGATCAGTTCTGAAAGTCATATCATTTGTCCAAGTTACATCTGTTACAATACAACCCGGACGCCTTGATTTTTTATTTGTCAGAGTAGTTTGTTAATTGGTACTATTCATATTATAAAAAGAGGACTTCTACTTGTAGAATATCGCTTATATCCAATTAATAACCAGTTAATGAAAAAGATATATACTTGTAGTTCTAGTATAGTGGTAGATTGCAATTTACATGCAATCTATAATGAATTCCTTAAAATTAAATATTTAATTAAGTATTAAGTATTAAAGAAGAAATGCAGACACACTAGATCTACATAAAGCTTAAAATTTTTTTTCAAAAGTAATTCTAAATTCTCTCGAAAAAATCTTACATTTTACTTTGATTCTGACAGTAAACTGCGATAAATAGCAGCAAATAAAAGTGGAATTGTGTGATAGTACCAGTACTTGCGTATCAACTATTTAAACTTCATTTATTATTATAAACAAATTTTGGAAATTCCATATTCCGCATTTCGAATTCTTTATATTTAAGCAGTTAATTTAATCAATATTTACAAAAATATGACAACATCCGTAAACATTTAATGACATTTTTTGAACATGAATTTTGTAAATATATTAGAAAACTGATACTATTAAGACTTTCGCTATACTAGTCTAAGTGAAATTAATACGTATATATGGTATAAAATTAGGTAAAAATGAAATACAAGAAAAAAGAGGTTCTTAGAAGTAATAAGTTAAAATGATGAGATTTCTTTTGACACCCTTCGTTCAGATATGAAGGTTAAAAGTGATATGTTAAGTCAACAGAGATGTTTGTAATATTATGAAGGAACATAGGAACAGTATGTATTATTAATCAGCTCGCTGTAAATGGTATAGATCAGCGCTCTGAGACATACTAGTCAATTTGTTCGAGGTATTTGTTTTCATTTTCAATTTTTCAATTCAATTTCAATTTAATTTTTCATTAGAAAAGAATCTTGAACAGTCAAATACTTAAGATGTTATGCTCAAATATCGAATTCCTATATCGAACACATATAATCTTTTTGAGCTGATTCTGTTAAGAAATTATCTACTGCTCTAATGGTAGCCATATATAGTCGCAGGTGAAATAGTACACAAGGCATAATATGAAACCATATAATGCTCTCTCAACCTTAAACGTACTACAAAAAAATATACAATATATTTAAAAGATGCTGGTGAAATATTTAATGGGTATTGGAGAGACCGGAACCAATATCTCCAAAAAAAAATATTACCCTTGAAAGTGAATATATAATATTTTACTAAGATATGATGCGGTAGTAACAGGCGGTCAGCTAACCACCACTGAAAAACGTCTCCTTTAAATACTATATAATAGTTTTAATTTTTTAATGTTTAAAAGTTGGAAGCGGCTGATAATCTCATATATCGAATTTTTTTAATAACAAAAATTCAGTCTCATTTTCGTATTCGTAACATTTGTCATATCAAAAATGATGATTTAAATTATAATAATATATTGCGCAATTATTTTGCACAATTAAAGTGATAAATTATAGTAAAAAAAGAATATAAATAAATGTAAAAAAATAAAAATAATAATACCAATAATTATTTTATTAAATGAGTTTCCGAAATAATAGAAACATTTTGTTAAATTATAATTATATATATTCAGTTTTTTGAAAGTCAATTTTAGTTTATATTAGAGTGACCTTTAGCAAAGGTATTCTAACAAATATATCTCTATAAGCATACATTTTAAGAATTAAGGAAAGCACTTCAGTGAAAACATATAGAAAAATGCGATCAACAGAATTTTCATTAATAATTGTACTATATATGGTCTTTATTTCAGTTGAGGTAAAAAGTTTATTGTTTTTAAAAATTATAATAAAAATAATATCATTCTTACAGGTTTCTTCTCATGTTGAATTTACTAATATGCTATGTAAAACCTTTGATAAAAGTTTTGTGACATTTGATTATTGTTATTTGAAGTCAGTAAACCGCTCTTATAAATACATATCCATGAGAGCAAAATTATTACAATTACCCGTTACAAATATAGTGGTATGTATTGCTTCGATATATAAGTTTTCAAAATTTTTGAATGAAAATAAAAGTACTTCTACTCTTGCCAATACAGTTCAACTATGCTATGCTCAAACGAGAAAATGGTTATAAGCCTTTTTTATACAATATCACCTTTGAAGCTTGCAGCTTTTTAAAATCACAGAACAATCCAGTAACTAAATTTGTCTATAATGTATTTAAGGACCACTCTAATGTCAATCATACGTGTCCTTACAATGTAAGTTTGCTTTAATGTTAAAATATAATAGAAAATAATAGAAAATTATGTAAACTTATGTCTTAGCACGATGTGATCATTGAAAAACTTGACACGAAGAGTTTTGCTGACAGATTATCACGCTTGCCAATTCCATTCGGACAATATGCTATTTCTGGAGCTTGGTATGTCTCAAATATTCATCGTGCTGATGTTGCATTGCAGTTTAAGATATATGACTAAAATAATTTTACAGTTAAGTTAAGAATTGAATATGTAATTCTTTATGCAATATAATTACTCATATATGAGTAAGTTAGCCAAACAACTATATGCCATAAAGGTGTTTTCTTACATTTGAACTGTTTCAGTTATTTTAAGATCCCTGGATTATACTGGTGTAACCTTGCTTCATGTGTTCATAACTTCTTTTAATGTTTCAAAAACCGTGCTTTGATTTCAAATATAGGCGTAAACTGAAATGAGAAAGGCGCTGACTTAGAAGTAAAATAAGGGTTAGGATGCGCTGACATAATGCTATGACAGATAAAGATTCTCTTTTTGTTTAAATCATATATACCTATAAAAATGAATTATTAAAAGGAATAGAAACAATACAAAAACCTCTTTTATATTATAAAACATTAGCATATCAAGATCTAAGTGGACAGGGGGTAAAGCACTAGCTCTGTATTTACGGCCAAAACTATTCAATGTTTAGATATTTGCTCCTTTTGTTTAAAGTAAGAAACTATATTGTTATAAAAGATAAGATTTAAAAGATAAGATTTCTAAAGCTCAATACGAGGAATTTTAATTATGCTCAAACCTTCATGCAATCTTTCGGAAGCTCTATTACACATAGCGATTATAACCTCAACAACCTTTACAATTTTCATTCAACAGTTATGCAGTACCATCGGATATAGTTATTAAATATTTACTTTAAATATAACAGTTTTTCCCTGTCCAGAATGGTCTTTGCTAATTAATGCAGCGGAACTTTTTTACAGTCCACTACCTATATTTTTACTACTGCTTACAATGGCACTGAGTTCCTGTTAAAAATACTGAACTAAAAACTACTGAACTGAAAATACTTACCGCTTCATTTTTTGTGCTCGTACTTTCATGGTTGACTGGACGTATTATTTTTTAAACACAAAAATCTGAACACATTGTACTTATTATACTAACAATTATCAATTGCAAAATTCTACACACCGCGATTGATGTGGCATATTGTGCCTACTTACTTCTTACTTAGATGGCCATTACAGACGTGAACCAACCCGATCAGTAGATTGCTGTCACCAGTTGATAGTACTGAGTGCCCCCAAATCGTTAGTCACCTGGTCCTTCCATCGAAGATGCAGATGTTCTCTGCCGCATTTTCCACCTGCCGATACCAAATCAAATACCTTACTAACTAGAGCACTGTCTTCTAATCGCACGAATTGACTACACCAACGAAACCGCTAACTTTTTATGCATTTAACTATATCAATATTACAGCTCATTATTCCACTTAATTTGATAATCATTGCCAACACGTAAGGGAGATAACGTCTTCTCATCACTATTGATAATTGTCCAAGCTTTTGCACCATACAGCAGGACAGGCATGATAAGGGATTTGTAGAGTGTGATTTTCGTTTGTCGAGAGAAGACTTTATTTCTCAAAAGAGGCCTACTAAGCCCAAAGTAACGTCTGTTCGAAGTGATTTTTCGTTGAATCTGTAGATCGACGTTTTTTTTTGGTATTTACGCTGGTTTCCAAATAAACAAAATGTTTCACAAATTCGAACTTATAAATGTCAACAGTGACGTGGCTCTCAATATCTTCAGGAGATTTGTTTGTTGACAGAAATTACTTTATTTTTTTCTCATTTACCACAAGACCCATTTATCGTACTAACCCGAGTTATTTCAACAAATCATTAAAAGGCTTTAGTTCCCTTCATATTATGTCTGCCTTCAAGATGGATAATTCTGGCGCCGCTCAATTGTGAACTCAGAAGTGCTTAGATGTGTCAACGTCCATTTCAAAAGATCGACAAATACTGGTAGTGCAAGAGCCCGGTAAAAGGATATTTTTTTGCTGACTACAAAATCAATCTCCAAGCCTGTTTTTGAGCTTTAGAGAGGTATGATACTTATAACTCTCCACTTCCACAAAGTCGGCCAATGAAAGATTTTATTAAAAGTAAAAGCAGTTTATGACATTATAAAATATTACTCAGATGTTTCAACGTCCATTTCAAAAGATCGACAACTACTGGTATGTAGGTTTTTCGAACAGCCCACATAATTATTTTGATAAATTATTTTGAGGATTATTTAATTGAAGTTATCATACATTTTACTTAATATAATTAATTGAAAATAACTTACGATTTTTTGTATTAGCAATTTTTTTTTGTTTGGTAATGGAAATTTTAAAAATATGCCAAAAACAAGTCAATCCGAAATATTCATATCATCATCTACAAAATTTAATAACCAATCAAACATTTAAATGCAAAAATTTCAAAAATGTCAGTTATTTACACAAAAATTATATAAAGCAATAAAAACGGGTAAACAATGAATTATGAATAAATTAAAAAATTTAAAACAAAAATTTAAATGAAAACAAATAATTGAAAATAAGTTTAAAAAAATTTTTATGTAAATGCCAAAGTACATAATAACTTAATTAGCGAACAAATTGTTTTCTCATTACAGACTTTTTCCTTATTAATATATTGTTCATATGTATATATACATATGTATTTAGTTATATGTATTTTTTTCTTTAAAACAATATTGAAATATTTTTTTAACGAATAAATGTGATTTCAGCGGAAATGTTTGAGATTGTCAAGTGTTTGACAAAAATTAAATTATTAGATAAAATTCCTCGCATATTTTCGAGAAGAACCAAATTGTTGAATAATAAATAATAAATATAAAAAAGTTATTTTAAATATTTCTGGTATGTTCGTTAGCGGTGAAATTAATTAAAAAATATCTATTTAATTTTTAATAGGCGTGATATTGAATATTGCATACATCATTTCCAGATGATGCATTATTTTCTCAAAGCTGCACAACTTGAATTGACAAAGCTGCACTGCATTTTAGTTCAAAATTATTGCCTGCTAAGCGCCATTGTTGTCCCCATACAGATTATGTCCGGTTTAAGTCAACATTAAACCATACTTCTGTAATTATTGGCTTAAAGTAGTTATTTTGAAGAACTTACACCTTTTAAGGAAAACAATTGATTGTTTACACCTTCTGCTCTGAGCACTTATACAATAATTTTCTTCTATTGCATCTGAGGTGAGGTGAGGTAAAAATTCTTACATCACACTTTTACGATTTTACGCCGATAAACAACCAATACGTTAATTATATTGCACACTGCATTATTAACAATAAACATGACATTGCATATCGATTGTTTTTCTTATTGAAATTCCTTGAATTATGAAATTTAATGTTTTTATTTTAATATTTTACAACGCCTACTAATTACATATAATTTTCACTTTTTTCTTAGAAATTGATTTTCTATTGAAATAAAAAATTTTTCTGTTACTAGTTTAGATTAATTAATATCATAATTACAGCGCAATAGTAAATATTTAATGTTCATCACTAAAAATGAACCACATCGTTTGTATCTTTCGCATATAGCAACAATTTTTCACATATAGTATATATAAAAATAACTAAAAAGAAATTTTCAGTGCATTCATATATTTACGAATTAACAGTAACTTATCACATTAAACTAATTAATATTCGGTCAAAATAATTAACTTCAAAGTTGCAACAATGACAATGAATTTTTCAACTACCAGGAATGATGCCGGTATATCTTTCAGATATATCTTTCAGATTTCAGCGTAAATTTACTTTTTAGCCTTAGTGTTTCAGAATTATTGTCATCATCTTCAGTTCTTTTAACTCCATAAGGCACTTTATCTCATTCCAAAAGCTCATCGAAGCACTCATCTCCGTCAATTTAATATGACGTACATGGGATCTTACTCTTCTGCTAAAAGAGAAGAGTCCATCACAATAAGCAGTTAAGGATTACATTTAAGATAGTTTTTGTGTAGCATTGCTGAAAGAGAACAGAACTATGTCTGCAAGATTTTAATCATACGTCGAAGATATGTATGTGCCAACAAATGCTTATATTGTAGTGTTATACCATAGGTAACAGGGTGCACGAATGCAGGATTAGTTATTCCATTGGAGAGAAAAAAGTCTCAAAGATGCAAGATATGTTTCGGGGTATAGAAATAAAAAGTAGAGGTCTTCACTGAGCTTCTGTATATATATCACTTGCTAAAACCCATATATACTCCTATATGTTGTTAATTTACTACCAGCATAAACGCAAATAAAAACAACACGTTAATGTTAATTATCACAATATAATAAAAACTACTCATCTGGTTTAAATCGAATTATAATGTCCACATGCCAATATATTTTTTAAAATAATATGAATTCAATTAAATTGAATTGAGTTAATAGTTAGTTTTAACTTAACCTATTTTCGTAGACACTGTTAGTATAAATATGTGGGTAATGTTTATCTAAATCTAATTAATTAATTTTTATGCCGTAACACCTTTCAAGGAAATACAGGCTTATCCAAATTGTATATATTTTGAAAAGTAAACGTATATCGGCAGAACCCTCGAAACCTCGATCAAATATGTATATGATACAAATGTGTTCAGAGAGATATCCAGTAATAGTAGATGCTTTTCGATAACTCATCGACAAATAACTTATAGCCGAGCCTTGAAGTACGAAAGTATCGAGAGTTTTAAGTTGATTTGCTAAAACATGATCCACTAAGTAAGACCATTAAATACATAATAATAAATTGTATGTAACTAATTCGTATCAGAGAAGTGTTGAGTCATATATGTGTAAAATATTTATCTCAAAAAAATTAGAACACAACGTTGTGGGACATTTCTTGTATCTTGTAGAACCGAGTAGTCAAATAAAAGTCTATGATCCATTACCAACAAAACTCCAATCAAGATTGAGGTAATAAAGCGCAATTGGCACTTGATAAGCCATACTCTGCGCAGACCAACCAATGACACCACAAGAATGGCGATCAAGTGGAAACTCATGGCGCACACCTGGAGACGACAAACGGATACGAAAGTTTCACGTATGCCTAAAAGTTGGAGAGAATTGAAGCTATTAGCTAATAGTTATTC